CTTTTGAAAACCGGTTCTCCAGCTGCAGTAGTCGTGCGGCTGCACGTGATCTTGAGATCCCTAGTTGTTGTAGTTTATCGTTAAATGGAATCTTGACTGTGTACGTACCGTCGCTGTTTCTGCTCGTGTTGAGTTGATAATGGTTTTCGCAGTGGTTGGCCTGCTTTGGGCTACTTCTTCTAGTTCCCAGAATTTCGATAACTGCTGATCTTCCTCAATGCACGTTATTAGACTGATAACTTAGAATGAATGTTTCCGGACAGAATCTACCCAAATTCGGTATGTGCTGTCCAAGTAGTCCATCTTCTGTTTTTCGAATGCCCGTTCGAATTATTTCTCCATATTCTTTTGCCCCCAATATGATATCGATTGACCCTGGTCGGTAGAACGTGGGGTCAGCAAGTCAAGTACATGGTTTTTCCATTGGTCGATGTTTACGGCGATTTCTTCACTTGGTAGCATTCTTGTCAGTTTGGGTAAAACAATACATGGAATTTCCATTGAGAAACTGCTCGGGAATCTTGGCTTGACGTTCATTTCTACCATCCATTTTGCCACTTGAGGTTCTGTGCTTTCAAGTCCGGATACGTCGGCTCTTATGCGCTGACGTAGTATGGATAGTAATGAAACAGCTTCTTCAGTTATGAATGTGGATTGAGAGCCTGGATCTATTAACACACGTAAATGTTCAACTATCCCTTGGTTATTGTGGACTTTGATGACTGCTGTTGCCAACAAGACCAATTCGTTGTGTCTCTCAAGGTGATTGGTTGAGAACTGCCTCGTGTCTCTACGGGGTTGTTGATTTGGTTGGACGTTTCTGTTGTTGGAAGCTTCTGGCTCCGTTCTGGTTTCTCTGTTTGTTAAAGTCTACATGTAGCGTTGTATGGTGGAATTTCTTGCAGGTGTGACATACGACGGTTGAATTACATCTTATGAGCGCTGGGTGTCTCAGGCAGTTTATGCAGATCTTCTTTTCCTTGAAGACTTCAAATCTTGCAGATGGAGTTGATGCTTGAAACTTCTGACAGTATCCGCAGCTTTCAGTTGTGCTGTCGGTTTGTTCGCTGGACTTTTTTTTACCTTGTAAGCAGGCTTCAATGGATTGAAATCTTGTTTGCAGAAACTTGAGTACGTCGTCTAGCTGATGCATTTTGTTTGGGTCTCGCAAGGATTGCTCGAATAATCGATTTGTCTCCGAAATCCCATTTGCGGCATATTAGTCTTGAGATTAGTGGTCCCCACGATTTGATGTCTATCTTTATGTTGTTGAGCGCTTCTACACATTCTATCATTGTGTCATGCAGTTGCTTCAGCTTTTACTCTAATTTGTGAGTGATTGATAGTGCTTCCAAGATCTTCTCAATCAGCTTGTTGATGATTAGTCTCTCGTTGTGTTGTAGTATCTTCTCTCGAAAATGTTCCAGCTTGCAATGTAGTTGTCACTGTTTATCTGTAAATGTTGAATGACTCTACTGGCTTCATCTCTTACGTGGGTCTTCAGATATTACATTTTTTCGATGTCAGTGAGGTTACCATTCTTATGAACAATTTTCGTGAAAATGTCCCTGGAAGTGGACCATTCTTCATAAAATCCATCGAACATTGGCAGCTTCACTTGAAATTGGAAATTTGAAGCTGTGTGCACGTTGAGGAATGTGGAGGAGAAAGTAGAGTTCTGTACTGATTTATAAATAAAATTTTGCATGAAATACAGAACTCTACTTTCTCCTCCACAAGTTTCACTTGAGGCAGCGATATGTTGTTTGACCTTGGCTGTTGGATAATGACAGTATAGGCATGGCATGACTTGTGGCGATGCCGGTGTGGCTGGATGATTGCTTGTAGACTTATTTGGTTGTAGCTGTAGCAGTATCTGCTCGTGTTGTTTCTCAAGTGCCGTGTATGCGGGCTTGTACGGTATATGGACCGATTGGATTTCGAGTTGTGGGTATAGGTCCGAAATCTGCTTGAATTTCTCGGTTACCTTGCATTGGAGCTGCTGACGGCGGTTAATTGGGGTGTGATCATCCATTTCTGCAACACTGTCGTTTAGGACTTCTTCCATCTGGTTAAGCAGAGCTGCTAGTTTTGATGTCATCTCATTTTGCTTGGGCTTCGACTTCTTTTATACCGTCTTATAGGTAGTCCACTATGTCAGTATAGAGCTTCTTGAGTTGTTCATTGTAGTTCGCGGTGTGGTAATTGTGGGTGGGGCAACTCAATTCGTTAATCTTCTTGTGGTTCTCATGGATTGTGGTCCATAATGATTTTACCGATTTGGTTTTTCCCTCGAAGTATTGGATTGTTTTTCGGCTTGATGAATCTTTCTTCATATTTGTCAGCACACGTTGCATGTCTCGCCCTTGATGTTGCTGTTCCGCAAGGCGGTCCATTTCTTCGCCTATAGTAGAGATTGCGCTGAAGTTGCGTCGAGTTGTTTTTTTTCTACGAACTTTTTTATCTGTTCATTCTGTTGTGGGGTGTCACCTGGTGCACTTGTTTCGTGAAAACGGTTGTATTGTTCTACTGATGATGACGGATTGTCTGCTTGTTAGAGTTTAGATTTTAGGCTGCAGGTGAGACTTGAGGCTGGAGTTGAAGTTTACTTGCTTTTGGACGGCGGTGACTGATGCACTTGACCGATTGGTTGACTCGATCCACTAACGATGACGCTTTGCCTGCTCGCTGTGAATTGGAGATGAAGTTGGAGTTCTTTTGAAGTTGAGGACAGATGGCAGTGGCTGGTGCACGTGATCCGTCGGTGGGTCCTTAATTGGGCTATTGTTGTCGGTAGCTGATTGAACCGTTTGCAGTTAATTTCACTGTAACTCCCTTTTTTCGAGCGAGTTATCCTTTTTTTCCATTCAACTTTTTGCGCGAAGGACCATGAATAAGGGTTCCCTTTTGATATGGGGATAACCTCTTAGTAATTTTTGACCTTTTGACTAAGGTTACCTTGCTGTCACTAGGTATATTCACAGTGCCCTGCTAGAGGTGACAACTGTGAAGGATGTTGTGTATAGAGTGCAGCCTCACACTCTGGATATAGGCTTGGATGTTGTGGTATGTGAGTAATACACCAGAAGAGGTTTCATACTGATTTATTCATTGAAATGAGCCGCTATTTATAAATAGCGGCTTGTTGTTAAATATAATACGTAATTTGGAACTGTGATGATTCTGCAGTTTGTTAACCCGATGAATTTGTGCTCATGATCCACCAGGAGTTGTTTGTATAAGCATTATTGCGTCGATCGAGATTGCCGCAATTTTCAAACTTCCTAGTTAATTAATAACAATAATGTTAAATTGTTTGTATCAAAATGGTTGCGTCACTGCGGGTCAATAATTCCAAACTGGTCCATTTTATTAATTTCAAAATAAATCCTTTATACATATTGTTTTATGGTTAATTTTGGCTGCTTTCCAAGATTAGACAGGTGGTAACATAAACAAACTGCAGAATGCCCTTATAGAGCCGGCAATATTAACGGGTATGTGATCGTTGCAATGGATAATTTTCACATAAAAGAATAGCTCATAGTTACCTTTAAACTAAATGGATGGGTGGCCTCGATTCTCATGGCCGCAACCCTTTGATGGCTGGGCGTAAACTACCCCTCTTATTCAGAAGGAACAAAGTTATTGCAATAGCTGAAAATTGGTAGATATATTCTTTAATATGTCTTCTCAAATAATATATAGGGTGGCCTCGATTTTGATGGCCGGACATGATGGCAACCCTCATTGAAAGTCGAGGGCACGCGTTATTTTGCTTGCTAAATACACATTTTTGAAAGTGACAGCCTTCAAAATCACTTTCAAAGTTAAAAGAGGACTCTGTGAAGAGGATTTTGCATACAGCTGTAGGTCTTTAGACAAAAAAAGAAACATGAAATTGTGTTAATAAAGTGTTTGCCGCATATGATGCGAACCCCCTACACCGCAAGGTACTTCTTATTTGTTGCGCTTATGGTTCTTGAAAAATCTTTTTATAAAACAACTTTACGGCCATGAGAATCGAGGCAACCCATCCATTTGGTTTAAAGGTTACTATGAACTATTGTTTTATGTAGAAATTATCCATTGCAACGATCACATACCCGTTAGTATTGCCGGCTCTTGGACTATTAGAAATATATCGGGTTTTCAATTTAAAAAAAAAAAAACAATCAAAGATTGCTTTGATTACGAAAACGTACGTCGCATTATTGTTTCTTTATTGGTCAGGATTTTTGACATGACAGACATTTTGACATTAAAGTTCATTGACAAACTTAAAGAAAAATATCGCTAAGACATACGTTTAAAAAACATAGCAATCTTTGATTGTTTTTTTTTTTGAATACCTGATACATATCACCAGCATCAGTACTCAAAATTTGACGAATATGTTCTGCAGGGATGTGTGTTGATTTTACTGTGCTCCCCACCACTATTCAGTATAATATAAATACATAGTTTGCGCAGATATGAAAAACAAATTCCATCGTTCAGAAGCTTTGGCACACGATATTCCTGACCGCCAAGTTCTTGCTTGTTCCAATTGTTCTAGTATTCCAGTTTTTTTTTATAGAATTTAGCATGTTTCCTTCGGTGGGGCAGCTAGAGTAAAAAATACCAGAGCATTCATAAGATAATGGAAAAACTTTGTTCACAGAGACAGACGGTAAGAACAAATTTTCGGGGTAGCTAACGGAGGCTAAGTTATTGTATGCCAAGATCAACATGTTTTTTTGTAGGACTAGATTATGGATTATGTGGAGACCATCTGCTATCGGTCCCAAAACCTGGTTGCTACGACTGAGGAAGTTATACATGTTGAGGCAACACTTTACTAGCCGGTGAGGAATGAGAACAGATATCTCAGTCATCCCGATAACTTATTAAAATGGTTTTAAGTTTTCGAACAAAAAGGTCAAAATAAAATTTCTACACAACAATGTCTAAAGCAGACACGTGAGACAAGAGGATCAAGCTTCAGATACACTTCTCACCTTTGTTGGGCGATTTAGCAGCTGCATCCATAACAGAATCGAAAATATCCACTGGGGGCCAATCTTTAGCATCGGTAACATTTTTATAAATATTAGTAAGACCAGTAAGATTGGGTGTCATTGACTCTTTGTGAATTTCCTTGCTTAAAACTTGAGGAACTATCACGTCTTGCAATGGACCGGGACCAACAGAACTACAAAGATAACTAGTGGATATTTTATCATGATTTGGAGAAAATAAACCTCAAAATCACAGATTGTTCAGTTGCTTTTTCTTCAAATAAGCTGTGAAACATTTGATCGGGAGCGCAGTCTGGAGAAACTCCACTCTCGATTGTATGCATTATAGTTGCTAATGCTTCTGGTGGTGTTTCTGTCATGGCATCGTCTGCTGTTGGAGTTGGATTTACTACAGACTAGAAGGAACCATTTAAATTTGTATTAAGCATAAATGTGCAATAATACTATACCTACCTCTTCTAATAACATTATTGATTCCGCATTTAATCTGAGTTTCTGTAAGCGTCTCTTCACAGCATATCGATCCTCTTGTAACACTAAATCAGGAGGCACAATTTTCAAAGTATTTTCAATATCTAGGATCTCTTCTTCGACCAACTGGGATAATTCAGCTGGATCCATCTGTATTTTTGGCTAAAATTCATCGATTATTTGAAGATTTACTAGAAATAACCCGCAACAGTAATTCTTACCGAAGTTACTTCATGAACGACGCGCTTAACCGTGGTTGTATAGGACGGAGTTACTGATACAGTTTCTTTTAATGAAATCACATCTCTACCCTGTTTAATGAGAAATTGTGATTTTTAGGAAAATGTGAATGTTTAAATTCCAGCACTCTTAATTGTCGCTAGAGGCATAAAACAATTTGAAAAATGATCTAGCGCTTTTGTTTCCAAACAACGAGAACTATAGTTTAGGGAAAATACACTCTGCTAAGGATTTTTGAACAAAATTACTGAAATCAGTTATTATTAATCTACACAGTTTCTTTTGAAAGAGTTAAAACTATTGTACCCTAGCTGTCTTTGGATAACTCTATACTCTATAGTTCGCTCTATGGAGGACAAGGAGTTTCTAAGTAATTGTTGCAGCAAGTTTTAAATTGCTAGTTAAACAGGGCCTTTTACATATTTTTTCCTAGGCTTATGTTTTCCTAGAGGGAATTGAACTTACATCTGATGATAGTCCATAATCTGGATCCCTAAAGAACACCATCATGTTGTCATGTTAAAAAAAAAACAAATTTTATCTTACAATTGTTGCTCGCTAATGGTAATTCTTGTGCCACGTCCGGAGCCTTCATCCACATCAGTCACAGATAAGCTTTTCACCACCCGTTCTGCCACGTCGTCTCTTTCCACCCATTTTTCGCTGTAAGTTTGTTGAATTATCGGCTCCATTCCTGCGGGAGTTTTTATCTGGTGCGGCCTGTGCATTTGCTCGACGTGTCGAGCTTGGGCGTAAAGTTTTTCTTCGCGTTGGTACATAGATTTTTGAAGTAAAGAGCTAGCTGCTTGGTCTTCGACTGAAAAATAAATGACACTTGCGGGCTTAATGCTTATATTATAATAGTCAGAGAACGAGGGACCTCTACGATGCGTTTTTAGGACCCTCTATAAGACATCGCGAAAAACCACCTAAAAAAAATGTTTTCTTATGTAAATTGACCTGGCGGATCCGATTTTGGAGTTCGCTAGTTAATCTGGAAATGCGAAACCGGTCAAAACCGGCATTTTACAAAAAATATCCAATTTTATGGATTTTTCTAAAGGACCCCCGCACATTTCTTATGGAAAAGTGATCTATGTGGAATTTTGCTGAATTTTTGATATTGTGTATAGGGAGTCGTCCTTAACAAAAGTGATCATTGCGCTAATGTTCAATACCCAACAGTTTTCATGATATCAATTAAAAACTTTTTTAATAATACTCTTCCATAAGAAATGTGCGGGGTCCTTTTCACTAAACACACTGTATCTCTATTTAGTCCGACTAAATTGAAATTTTTGGGAGACTCATTTTAGACCTTTGTTATCATGACGGATATAACAGAAATGCAGAAAAAGATCACGAGTCACCATAATATATTTTTTTAAAGTTAGTGACACGAAAATTGTTAAAATTGCAGCAAGAAACACTCGATCGAGAAAACTTTCCTCTTTTTGAAGATAGATGTATATCCTGTTCACAATCCGATGTCCACAGGTGCTGGTAAATTTATCACCTTTCCCTATCAAATAGCATTGAAAGGTGATAAATTTTACCGGTACCAGTGGACATCGGATTGTGAACGGATATTATATAGTAAGTGACAAAGTTGTAGTCAAAGAACAAAAGAAGTTTTTCTGCGATTGACAAGAAATGTCAGCCTTTTTGACCGGTTGACAGGTCGCAAAACTCAATATTCTGGTATTTCAATTATGTTTCAATAGTTGCTAAGGAATCAATGAATAACAATATGGGAAACACTTTTCCGGCCTAGGCCGGGAAAGTAATTCTCGTATTGCTGAATAATTGGAACAAACATTTAACAGGTATTTAACCGATCGCAGAAAAAATAGTTTGTGTATTTCGGTGGAAAAGCACATTCTCGGCCTTCGGTGTTTGCCGGCCTCGGCTACGCCTCGCCCGTCAACTTACACCGTCAGCCGAGAATGTATCACTTTTCCACCTAAATACACAATATACTATTTTTTATCCTTGTGTTTTTTTTTGATAACTTACTTAGTTTTCAGGAAAACGGATCCCCAATATAGAAAAACTATCCCGGCACCGCGGCCGCGGCAAGTCAGGTCAGGTATAGGTATCCACCATCTGTTTTTGATGTTAGTTTGGAAAGAAATTTTGTAATGAGGAAAAGAAAGAAAGGAAAGAAATATGGATGCAAAATAATAAGAAGTTTGTATAGTCCAACAAATACCATTTAAAGTCACGTGATTTTTCTCTATCCTTGTTGAATACATCTCAAACAGCGGTGATAGTAAAATTGACAAAAAAATTGCTGTCTAATTATTCTTCATAATATTCTTACCTGAAATAGAATCAGTCACTGTCATCAATTAGTTTGTCAAAGTTATTTTCGAAAATAATACAATGAACAAACACAGCTAATAATTTTGACTATATTAACCTTTTTCCAACTCGAAAAGAAGCAAATAGAAAACTGGTACCCACTTTAAGTTCAGAATGTATTACAACAGACAGCAGATACGACAAAAGTGAGTCTCGCAACAATTGCAAGTAATAAAATTGCCCTCTGATTGGTCAATACTACTTCATAAACGCGTTTGTAAAATGTTAGTGGGAACATATCCTAAAATTCAATAGTAATTAATCACCAGTAGCATTTTGTAGGTGATATGAACGTAGGGTTGCCACCTGTCCGATTTTCACCCGGACTGTCCGGGTTTTCAAAGGTTTGTCCGGTGTCCGGACGCATGATGAAAATGTCCGTGGAATATCTGGATAACTATATAATCAATAATAATTAATACTTAATATAAAATTTATAAAGGCGATTGCCGAACGCCTTAGGATATACCTAACTAATTTCTGAACGTTCCTACTTCTTGAATAACGGGTGTATCACAAACGTCTCCGGTTTCCAGTTAGCGACAGAAAAATGGACTTTTTCTGCCTAGGCAGAAATGTTCCTTGCTTCCTATTCAACAAACGTTATCAGCGCAATTGATAAACATAAAAAAGTAGATTATGCGTGAAAGTGTAACAAATTCGGAGAAAAAATGAAATGTACTACCTATATGTTTCACACGGCAAAAGATCAGATTTAATGCCTTGGTTGGTTTCCTCGCTTCGCTTTCGGCTATGAAAAACTAGTCGCGGCATTAAATATCGTGCTTTTCTGCCTAATAAAATAAATAATTATGTATGTATTGTGTCGTTCTCCCTGTTCACTTACAAGTGTCTCTGGTTTTTTTTTTCATTTTAAAATAGACCGTAACTACGAGGGGTGGCGTTTGAAATTGAGAAGATACCTTTTTTAATTTTTTTCTAAAAATTCATTCTACAGATATGAGTTTAAATTATGCTACAAAAAAAAGTTAGCTTCGATTATGTACGGGTTTTCGGAAATCAAAAGGTGGCAACCCTATATGAACGACATAATCAATGGAAATACGTTTTTTGCCACCAATATCACGTGACTTTAAAATGGTATTTGTCGGACTTTACCATGTCATATGATAATTCAGTCACTAGCAAATACCTATCAGAAGAATGCTAAAAACCTAGCTGGGATTTTATTAGTAGTTTATTGCTTAAGTGGGTGTGATTCGGTGAGTTTCCCTTTCCGAAAGGGCAAAAGAAAAGCTCTAAAAATTGCACTTTCTAACGAAACTTGCTTAGACCTGATTCACTTTGGATCTTTAAGTATTGATGGGTACCAAATATCGGAAACTCTATGGACAAGTTGCAGAATATTTTTTAAAAATTTGTATGGCCGATCAAATTTTATGGGAAATATGGACGAATTACGAGCGCATATATTTCCAAATTGCAAAACTGACATTAGGTGAGTAATATGCATTTCTATGTTTGTCTTTATAATTCTATTTTTAAAACTACCCAAATATATTAACTTTAAAACCTCTTGATCACTGAAGAATATCATTAACTATCATGTGTTGGTATTTAATTTTAGAGCGTTGCCTCCAACAGAAGATGCATTTTCACTGTATGTGAAAAGGGCGTTTTTGCAATGCGCGATCTATAAAAGCGCTAGTAAAATTCAGCCTCAAGTTCCAAATCCTACAGCTTTTGGCTACTACATTGAAAACAATGTTCTTATACCAAGGATGACACTGAAAGAAGCAAAACCAAGCTTCTTAGATATTACAGCCAACTGCAAGTGTAAGTTATGTCTATGTCTCAAAGCAAATGTTCCTTGCAACATTAGTTGTTTATGCCAAGGGAAATGTGGACTCCAATAGAAGTAGATAATAAAAACAACTAATAAATGTAATGTATCATCATTTCTTTTTGAAAATATTTTTCAAATTTAAGGGTTATGAAACAGAAAGCCGAGTTGCCAGAATGTGTAAAATATTTGAGTAAATTCAAATAGTAAAATTATTCAATTTATTAATTAAACGTAACCATAACAGTAAGCTCAATAGCATAAATATGTTTTTCTACGAGCGTGTGCAAAATAGGTACTTTGCACACGCAGTTGATAATGCAAAATTTAAATTTGCGCACTAGTGCGGACAAGAGTTGATTTTGCGCACTAGTGCTGACAAGATATAATTTTGACAAAGTACCAGTAAAAATATTCACGTACCGGTAAAAGGTATGTTTCCACAGAAATCACAAACCAGTCGGAGCGTTTTTGATTGGTTCAAATCGCCAACAACCAGTTTTCTGACTATTTTTAGCGAATGAAATTCGGTCTGACTGGTTTGTGATTTCTGTGGAAACAGGCCTTATGATTACATGACATTTGCCGTTAGTGTTTATAGGTCTGTCACGTCAGTGTCAAACAAATTAGTTTATCATCTTTTCTTTGGTCGTTATTTTAACTACATCGTGAGCCTAAGCCTACATACTCGCAAAAAAATGGGAAACATTGCAGCAGAAGATAACGAGGAAATACACCATATTTTAGATAGAACCGCCAGTGCCTGCAATAGTCTGATACCCCAAAGGTCATCCGAAAAATCTCTCAATATCGTTCACAATAATCAAATGAAATAATTAGTTTTTCTACGAGCGTGCGGGAAATGGCTCTTGCCGCACGATTTGCTGTGCGGGAAGACTCTTTTCCCGCCCCAGTGCGGGAAGAGATTTCTTCCCGCACTCAGTGCGGGAAGACTTTAAAATAATCATTGTGACATGGAATTGTTTGTATTGTTGATACACCTTTACCTTTACCTTTAATACATTTACCTACGAGCGTGCGGTAAAGTGCACTTTACCGCACGTATTTGCAAATGGAAAGTATCATAGTATGCGGTAAAGTAGAACACAAAGTGTTCGGTAAAATGCACTTTACCGCATAGTGTGCGGTAAAGTAAAATTTGATATTTATAATCAAAAATCCTCTCTTTTTCAAAAAATGGATTTTTGATCATTTCTAAATCTTATCTAATATCATTAATTAATCTGATTCATTAATTAATTTTATCAATGCCTTTTTTTGGAGATGTAGATGCTCATAGGTAAAATTTTGTACCTAACACATGCGGAAAGTGCCTTTACCGCCATTAACGGCTAACTGCCGTTGCGTGCGATAAAGTATCACTTTCCGCATTTGTTAGGTAAATAACTATTACCTTTTTTTTATAAATACCTTTCAATACATTTTTAATTCTTCCTTCTGCACAGTCGCATTTTATTAAAATTAAACTTCTCGTAACATCAGCTTTAGTATGCTCGTAGAAAAAATATAGTTCCTAACTCTTTCGGGAAGAACTTTCCGCACTTGTTAGGAAAATAGCTATTTTGGTTGTTTTTGAATGGGTATTTTGTTTTGATTCTTTTTTTTTTAAGTTTATTGTCTCATTTTTT